ATAAAATGCCCCAGAAACCCTTGTTTTCAGAAAATAACCACGAACGAAGTTTTGGAACACGTCGCATATACGCACAGGTGCATATTATAAGGAGTCCGATTGTAACAACCCCGTCCAAACTATACGCATTAACCATTTCCGAAAAAAATTACATACACGTGTGCACAGGTGGGCCTACACAAACCGAATACGTTACTTAAGTGTGGTTCGAATTCGTGCTTATGCACAAGGTGGCAAAGAACAAATGACTAACTAAACACTTTTTCCGTACCCGGGTCTTCATTTTTGAAACGACTATTACTTAATACATGACCTTGGATTAGAAAGTAAACTTCTTGTACATAGTCCCAATTTCTCAGAAATAAGATTATGCCAAGGGCTGGCTGCTCGAGCTTAAGTTCGCCAAATTTCAAGCATGAAATCATGCCATTCTAATTAATTTGGGGCATAATACCTATGCTGACACTTCGACACTTAATTTCTGTAACTCATTGCATTGTGACAAATGCCTGCTTTCGAAACCATTTTCTACTACCTGGCAAGCCAATTATGCACTGCAAGTAAATTTGAATAATATAGAATTGAACTTGTGTTGGTTATGAGAAAGATATGTAATCAGAAAAAAATGGTACAGCTAGTGACAGAGAAAGGCAAAGCATGCACTAATGTAACAAATGCTTGAAAGTCAATGGCGGATGTTCCATTTAAACCAAATTAACCGTCATTCTGCTTCTTCCAAAGAGTCGTTCGACAGTGTTACTCTTCCCCTCGCACACTGTTCAAGAACCGTCTAGATAATAAACTCTTAAAGGCCAGCCCAAGCATTCAAACCACTACCTAAAGGATAAAATAGATGACTCGAAACATACTACTTCCCTGATTTCAACAGACCTTCTATTTAGGTTAAAATTGGTTCCGATATGCATTTCATAGTGTAAATAAATAAATTAAATTTTAAATGTTAGGCCCGGAGGTCCTCGTCATTCCAAACTTAGTGCTGTGGTAAAAGTAAATACAAAGTGGATAAATGCTGCTCTTTGTGAGCAACCACATAGACAGCGGGAGTGGTTAGTATGATGAGCAGATAGTTCCATATTCGCCAACATATCCTCATTTAAAAAAATTGTCAGCACTCTTTGAAAAGTATGGTGAACGAAGGAGGAGGCAGTGAAAAAAATACTCCCATCTTGAAAGCAGGGACAGAGTTCATCGGACCCACACTTAAACAAAATAAAACGTAGCAGAAAAAAGCTGCTTCCATAAAAATTAAGAGGTTGGTTGATAGATTTGTTGCGGTACAATGAGACAGGATTGTTGATGAGAATGTATGAGGGTTCGAAACGCTTCTTGTCGTAGGAGAAATCACATAGCAGCAGAGGCTACCGTCCACCACCGTAACACTGTCCGACTGGTTCCAGTATTAACCATCAGATAGGTGAGACAGAAGGAGGTCATCGCGGACAACAGAGTCGAAATGATGAGGGGACGGTAAAGGTCACGAGATCAGCACCGAAACGCTGGAGATGCGACATTTTGGACTGCAGATTCCAGCGACAAGCGAGCGAAAACAGCAGAACCGCCACGACCATCACCAGAGACTGTGAAGCCCACCTCAAATACCGGGAGGACCCTTTTCAAAGTCCAAAAGTTGTGTTTGGAAAGGAAACGGATAACAAGGACCTTATATCTTCCGATGTTAAATGTTTACGCAATTTGGCTTTAAAACTGCTATGTTAGACGACAGCCTAATTTCGAGGGGAATATTATTCCAGACGCTAAGTTAGACGACAGCCTAATTTCGAGGGGAATATTATTCCAGAGGAAGACTGTTAAGTTAGACGACAGCCTAATTTAGAGGGGAATATTATTCCAGAGGAAGGCATATTTGGTGGTAAAAAAACGAGAACGGTTAGATCTTTTGCTAAAGGGTGGTGAAATTTTCATTAAGGAATTACAAGTGACATAAGGTCTATCTTCCAGAGTAAGAACGTTGATCCAGTGGGCGGTTAGGGCTAGAGTTAACGGGAAATAGGAAGCAGAGGCCCGCTTCGAGTCTTCTAACCCAAGGAAAGGTCATGTTCACTAATTGACATCTCTCTGTATAAGAAATAGTGGATCGAGGAAGAGCAGATATTTTTCGAGTAAAAACTCTGAATATTTTCAGTGGCATTTATTAGACCAAAGAGGGGACAGCAGTGTTCTAGGATGGGTAGAACAAACATGCGGTATAGTCTTAACTTTGGTATTTTAACGACATACGGAGACCACAAGCACGAAGCTCTTCTGTCTTTTTGGGCGTCATCAGGTGGTGGTAAGTCAAATCCAGTGTAGCGGCGGAAATTGCCGCCACACTCGAGTTTCGAACTCGCGTTTCTCCGGCCAGAGGCGAACGCTCTAACCATTGTTACTAATAACTAGCGAGTAACACATACACTTGGGGTTCCAATTAGCTCGCAACCATGACATTGAACCAAGGTGGGTACACCTTAAACAGATCGGAGTAGAATTACCCAATAAGTCTTAACTTTATTTCCAGAAGGGAGAAATTATGTCATAAAAAACCACATATCTGTGCAGCCTTCGGAGAAATTCTACCTGCATGAGGTGATTATGCTAGTTTATTTGTATAACTAAGACCTAAGTCCTTTATGGTCGATCATTCTGAAAGTGGAATATTTTGAAAGACTAGGGGACCAAGGAGCTTAGTGGGGCCAAAACACACGAAATTACACTTTTATGATGAAAGTTCCATCTACCTGG